ACGATGTATTGGGGAGGGAGGGGGCCGAGTTGCCGATTTCATTATTTAAAAAGTGATTTATTTACCAAGGTGAGCCATTTGCAGATTCAATAATAAATCTATTAAAGAGTAGTTAACCTCTATAACTCTGTTTTAAATAATCAATTGGTGTTTGGGTAACGTACAGCGTCTGTCTCATTAGGTCGGCATTAAGGCCTTATTTGAGCCACTTAATCTCAAGTGTGACCAAATCAGCCATGAGGTGGTAATTAGACATTCACTACGGGTGCTTGATTCTGCAAGGAATGGGGTGCTTCCCGGCTACAACTGCCCTGGTTGAGGATATGGGGGCCCCTGGGTCCTCTAATGCCCAATTCTTTGTTCCCTACAGTGCCTCCCGTGACAAAGACTTGACACCACCCCCTTCCTCCAGGGGGAAGAAGAAAAAGAAGAAATCTACCCGGAAGAAGAGAAGGAGGTGAGGGCACTAAGGGGAGGTGAAAGTTTGATCATGAGGGAAGGGACAAAATAGGAATAATATGGATTTTGGAGTCAGCCCATCCTCATGGGGTTCAAATTTCCCCTCTCTGCCTCTTAAGTGGCTATTTAAGCTTGGACAAGTCATTTGCTTTCTGTGTGTTTATGCCTACTTCTACCAAATGGTGAGAATACTTACCTCTTGGAATTTTGTGAGAATTCGAGGAGAAATGAAGGTGGAAGCAGCTGTCACAGTGTCCGGTGCATAATAAACGATCAGTTAACGGGAAGCATAATCATTACCATGCATATCGAACGTTTTTGGAGCATTTATCTGCCCGATGCAGAAGACTGTGCTAATCACGGTGAGCTCCATGATCTTTTCCACCCCTGGCCACGATCTACCAGACAAGCACTCTCTCCCCATTGCAGAGATGAGAAAGGAAGGCTCAGAATCTACGGGGAGTTGATTCCAGGCTCCTTAGCTGGTCCCACCAGGCCTAGCTACCAGCTAAAATGACCCAGCATCATGGACTCTTCATTTTTTGCCAGCTATTGGCTCTTGTACCCTATACATTTTCTTAATGTATACTTTCTCTTTTAAAAATTGGATTTTTTGTTTTGTGTGTTTAAAAATAGTTCCAGGTTTGCTGCTAGACTGCCACTAAGTAGACTAAAAGCACCACAATGTTCCGACCCCAGGGGACAGGCTTAACCCTTCCAGCTATGAGTTGAGAATCACATCATACCGCTGAGGCAGTATTTAGAGAAGCCTGCAGGGGGCAGCAGAGAGCAGTGTCTGGGTGCCTTGGGCCTCAACTCGAGGTTTTCTGGAACTTGATTTCCCTGGACACCCTGTTAGCCTAGTAAATAGGACAGACCCAAAGAAAACCTAGAGGGAAATATGGATACATCCCTGGAGTTTCAGCCATTGCAGGTTGTGGGGGGGTGGAATTGGGGCAAATGTCTTAACTATCCTGTTTTAGAGATGGGTGGAAAAACATTCTTAAGGAGGAAACTGTGGGTTTTAGGATTCGCCAATTCGTTCATGTAGTTCATTTGATAAATGTCTGCTGAGCACGTGTTTGTTTGGGGACAGACACTGTGATTCCTTAAGGACTTGTTGAGATATTCTTCACTCAGGGATTTGCAGACAGATTTGGTGGGTCCATAAAGGTTTTATTATTTTTTTCTTTTTAATTGGTGGCCAACATTTAAACATCAAGAGATTTCTTATGACCATTTGGATCTCTGAGGCTTCTAGAGAAAAGGGAGGTATTCTGGAAGCCCAGGCCTATATTTCCCCACAGGACCCGAAGCTGCTCTCAGAAGCAGCCATCCATTCCAGTCGGGCACTCTTTGGTTTACCATAGTCCCCACCCCTCCCTACTGTCTTCCACCCGATGTGCTTTGTTTGTATATGTCACCTGTGAGGCTCTTACTGGCATTGAGTTTGCAACTGCTGATCTGTTTCAAGCCCAGTCTTTTGTCAGTGGGGAAATAAGAGACCAAGAGATGAGCTGTGACGTGTGCGGGGTGCCTCTGTGAGTTGCTGGTGGTGTAGACAAGACTGGAAGTAGGGTCACCCGAGCCTCCATCTTGAATCATCGCTGTCGACTTAGGGTAGCTGTGTTTCTCAGAGCTTCCCTAGCCCCACCCATGTGGTACATCCTCATGGACCTCCTTCAGGAACTCAGTCTTACCAGGGGAGCATCATGGTGGGACACAGGAGAGACCCCAAGGGTTGGAGAAGAGGAACAGAGCTTGCAGGGAGAGCAGCAGATGAAAAGAAACCTGTACAGCCTGAGCAGGTGGGCAGCTCCGGGGTCAGGCCATGCAGTGACAGAGACCACAAGCCCTGGCATCAGAGGCTCCACTGGAATCCCAGCTCATCCACTTCCTAGCTGCGTGTCTTTGGGCACCTCCCGGAACCTCGCTTTCTTTGTCTGAAAAGGGAGGATAACAATTGTACCTCCTAAGAAATATGTGTTAGGTTGTAGAGAAAGTCAGGATGTATTTCCCCCCCCCTTTTTTTTTCTATACAAAAATGCATCATGACTTTCCTGATGACCCGAAATAGAACGATGAAAGGAGATAGTGCGTATAAGACACATGGTGGGGCCAGCAGGTGGCGTGGTGCTTAAGGCGCTGGACACGCCCACATGGCTGACCACAGTTCGAGTCCCGGACCTAGGGGCTTCCTTTCCCTCTTTTTCCCTCTATGTCTCTCTCTGGTCAAATTAAAATAAATGAATGAATAAATTTATTTTAAAAAAAGACGCATGGTAACACAGAAATGGTTTACTACCCATTGATGAGAATGTGTTTATTATTCTCAACTGAACCTGTCTGAGGTGTATTTCATATTGGGTGAATTCTCTTTATAAGCTAAATGATGTATAGCAATTGAATGTATTTTAAAGAATAATTAAAGATAAAAGGTAATAATGATTAAAACTTTTAAAAATAAAACAAAATGCCAGCTAAGATCAGTATTGATATTAGCCTCGATATGTGTTTCTGAAAGAGCTGAGACCCTCCACAGCAGCTGGGGAAGGGTTCCTTTGAAACCAACCCCAACCTTTCAGAGCGATCCTCTGAGGTGTGTCCCCGTCCCCCGCAGGTCCCCGTCCTATAGCCCATCGCCTGTCAAGAAAAAGAAGAAGAAGAGTTCCAAGAAACACAAGCGACGCAGGTATTGTCCTTCCTCTTCCATAGCCGGGGACCCCCAGGTGGGAGGAGGTGACTGAGTAGCATCTCCCATCACTATGTGCCATACTTACCTTTATGTGGTTATCACCTGTCTCTGTGTAAGTTGGGACTCTGGTTGTGAGGACCAGAGGCCCACCATTATTATTGTGTGGTCAGGGAAGTCAGGATGCATTTTTTTTTTTTGAGAGGTTTTTCGCTATAGGGCGCGTGCACTCGCCAGACAGACAGAGAGAGACATAGAGACAGAAAACTAGAAATCACCCCCCAGGGAGAATGGTCACACTGCAATCCCTTCTCCTCCATTCTCCTCTCAAGATCTTGGGCACGCATGCACACGCACCCAGCGTGAGTTTTAAGCCACCGGGTCTGGGACGCGAACTGTGGTCGACTATGTGGGAGTCCAGTGACATAGCCATTACGCTAACTACTGGTTCCAGGATGCATTTTTTCATAGAAAAACAGATCAGGAGTTTCCTGACCACCCAGTAACTCAGGCAAGAGAGCGACTTGACTATAAGACAGTAGAATTGCTTCAGAGACCAGCCAGGCCTGGACCAGGAGCCAGGATGAGGAGGGGAGAGTTGAGGACCCCAGGCAGGCCCTGCAGTTCCTATTTCCTGGCCCACGTTGGAGACGTGGCTGCCCGCTGCCCCCACCTCTCCATGTGGCAGGTCAGGCCAGAAGGAGACCCTGAGTCTCAGTCTTGTTCCTTATTCCTGCTTCCCAAGGAAGGGCCTCTCTCCTTGACCCAATGGTGTCCTAGAGGACAGACATGGCTCAGGGACAGTCTATCCTCAAGGAGTAGAGAGGCAGGGACGATAGTTAAAGGATGTTGTGAACTGGGTGCACATTCCAGAAGGTGTATGCTGTACACACACACACACATGTCTTTTTTATTTTTAATTTTTTTTAGAAATTTTTGGTATATGGCGTTTGTACTCGCTGGAGAGACAGAGAGAGACAGAAAGTAAGAACTCACTCCCCAGGGGGGATGGCCACACCACAGTCCCTTCTTCATTTTCCTCTCAAGATTTTGGGCACATACGTACATACACCCAGTGTGAATTTGAAGCTGCTGGGTCCAGGACTCAAACCGTGGTTCAAGAAGCTGCTGGGTCCAGGACTCAAACCATGGTTCAAGAGAACCCAGTGACATAACCATTATGCCATCTGCTGGTCCCATGCATGTGTATGTTTACACTGGGGAAAAAAGACTGGAAGGGTATACACCAGAAGGCTCAAATTGTGGTTCACGGCTCAAACCAACATGTTATATGTGACCCCAGGCAACTTAACTAACTTCTCTGAGCTTCAGTGTCTTTGCCTGTAAAGTGGTTGTTACTCTTGGGTCATTGGGAAAGTCATGAGACATTTTTGCATGGAAAACCATAGAAAAATACGGCACAACTTTTCCAACAGCCCAATACTACTCCACAGGGTTTGTGGGGAGCTGAGATGAGATGGTGGGTGATAGACACTTAGCGCAGAAATTGGCATGCAGGAAGGGTTCACATATGGAAGCTGGCAGCCTCTTAATGATGAAGGTGAGGAGGAAGAAGTGGGGGAGGAAGAAGATACTGATGATGAACCCACAACTGGGGGAGGGACGAGAGGGAAACTGGCAGAGGGATGGAGGGAGGGAGGCAGAGGACTCTCCTACGTGCCCCTCATCCAGCCTCATCCAGGACAGTCTTAGTGACCATCTGGGAGAGGCCTGAAGCATGGTAACTTTTTTTTTTTTTTTTTTAGAGGGTTTCCCTATAGGGAGGTCCCTTCTTCATTTTCCTCTCAAGATTTTGGGCACATACGTACATACACCCAGTGTGAATTTGAAGCTGCTGGGTCCAGGACTCAAACCGTGGTTCAAGAGAGTCCAGTGACATAACCATTATGCCATCTGCTGGTCCCATGCATGTGTATGTTTACACTGGGGAAAAAAGACTGGAAGGGTATACACCAGAAGGCTCAAATTGTGGTTCACGGCTCAAACCAACATGTTATATGTGACCCCAGGCAACTTAACTAACTTCTCTGAGCTTCAGTGTCTTTGCCTGTAAAGTGGTTGTTACTCTTGGGTCATTGGGAAAGTCATGAGACATTTTTGCATGGAAAACCATAGAAAAATACGGCACAACTTTTCCAACAGCCCAATACTACTCCACAGGGTTTGTGGGGAGCTGAGATGAGATGGTGGGTGATAGACACTTAGCGCAGAAATTGGCATGCAGGAAGGGTTCACATATGGAAGCTGGCAGCCTCTTAATGATGAAGGTGAGGAGGAAGAAGTGGGGGAGGAAGAAGATACTGATGATGAACCCACAACTGGGGGAGGGACGAGAGGGAAACTGGCAGAGGGATGGAGGGAGGGAGGCAGAGGACTCTCCTACGTGCCCCTCATCCAGCCTCATCCAGGACAGTCTTAGTGACCATCTGGGAGAGGCCTGAAGCATGGTAACTTTTTTTTTTTTTTTGAGAGGTTTTCGCTATAGGGCGCGTGTGCTCGCCAGACAGACAGAGAGAGACATAGAGACAGAAAGCAAGAAATCACCCCTCAGGGGGGATGGTCACGCCGCAATCCCTTCTCCTCCATTCTCCTCTCAGGATCTTGGGCACACACACACACGTGCCTGGCGTGAGATTTAAGCCACCGGGTCCGAGACACGAACCACGGTCGACTACGTGGAAGTCCAGCGACATAGCCATTACGCTAACTGCTGGTTCCCAGCACTGGTAACTTTTGACCTGGAGATTCAGAATGCAAACCAGTGTGTCCCTGTGATCTTCACGTTCATATTCTTTGAAATCTAATGGACGAGGGGATTGGCTGGATGTCTTGGCCTGATCACAAACAAATCGATACATTCATTGCACAAAAAGAAACCTCAGACTGACCTGTATTTGTTCTCTCTCCCTCCCTTCCTTCCTCTTTTCTTTCCTTTCTTCATCTCCCTCCTTTTCCCTCTCCCTCGCTCCCTCTCTCTCCTTCCTCTCTCCCTCTCTCTGCTTCCTCTCTCCCTCTCTTTCCTTTGTTCTTTAACCAGGTCATTCTCCAAGAAGAGAAGGCACAGGTAAGACTCTTGTTGACCCTGGCTGTTTGTGTGGCTTTCTGTTTTGTCATCAGGCTTGAGGCCCCTTCTAGGTCAGCTCTCCATCCCTGTCTGTTGGGCATGCCCCTGTCATCCTTCTGGGCCTCAGTTTCCTCCAGATAAAGGCCTGGGATGGTTTGACTGAAAGTTCCAAGCCAGTTCTCAACTTCCGCCAGGCCGAATGGCAGCTCCTGGCTGGAATATCGGGTTAGCCCTCCCGGACTGTTTGTTTTACCACGGATTGCGTTGTTGAGCTGGGCACAGAGGAAAACATCACCCTCATCACTTCAGCTAGTGCTTCCCAGAGCTGGCCGAGAGACAGACGCCAAATCCCAGCCTTCTGCACATGAGCCGAGCATAGATAAAGCTATCGTCCACAAACCAGGCGTTCTAAGTTGGAGCCTGCGTTAAGCTCCTTCCACATGCCGACATATTTAATCCGCATTAATCTCTATCAAAACCTTGTGCAGTAGATAGCCTTCTCACTCCCCTTTTACAGATGAAGAAACTGAGACTAAGATGATGTGACAGGAATGTCCACAGACAGGGCCAGAAGGTAGCAGAGCCCAAATTCAACCCCAAATCTATCAGACACCAGATCAGGACAGGTGACAGCAGCTTCTTAAATAACAGATCACATCTTGAGCAGCTTGAAGTGGCAAAACCCTTTCATGTATTTTTCATTCATTGAATAAATAGACATTGATTGCCAATGACATTCATCCACTCAGTTTGTCAGCCCATGAAATGGCTCCATTTCATGGCGGAGGAAACCAGGTCCCAGAGAGGACAGGTAACCAGCCTGATGTCACACAGTCTCTAAGCAGCAGAGCTGGGATTTGAACTTGAATCTTTCACTGATGACTCGGGCTCTTCCACTGCCCCAGACTGAGTCTCAACATGGAGAGAGTTCCTGTGGCTCAGTTCAAAGTGTGAGTCAGCTGGATAAAATTAGTGTTCCTCTTCTCAGACTCTAGGCTAAGCCATGGGTTCTTGGTGAACCCCTGAAGCCAAACTGGCTTGAACTACCAAATAGTCCTCACCCTTCAGGACCTGCATTGGATTACACAGAAACCTAAGTCCTCATTCCCCGTTCTACCCATACCCCAGCCCAGTGGCTCCAAAACACTTTTTATCTATTTATTTAAGTTGATTTATTTTATTTATGATCAAGAGTGTGTATACGTACTAGAGAGAGAGAAAGAGAGAGAGGGAGAGGAAGAGAAAGAGCCCCAGCTGGGTCTCCTACGGCCATAATCCCCCTTCCCCAGCCCCCAAGCCTATCAGGATCCTGGGTGTACACACACATGCCCCTGGCATGTTTTCAGGCCCACCTGGGGACCCAAACCTGTGGTCAGCCATGTGGCTTCCAGCACTGCAGTTCCTGGGCCTCAGAAACATTTTTTTTAAAACCCAAGTACTTGGGTCCAGCAGGTGGCCTGGTGGTTGAGGCACTAGACTCCCACGTGGCCGACTGCAGTTTGAGGTCCTAAACATGGCAGCTGGCTTTCTCATTTTCCCTCTCTCTGTCTCTCTCTAATGAGCACACTTGCCCTATAGCAAATTTTAAAATAATAATAGCAATAAGTAAATATGTCATTCTTTCAAATAACAAAACCAAACACAAAACAGGTACCTGAATATGCGTGGGAAGGACATTTCCGAATCTACCAAGCTTCATGAGACTTTGAATGTCTCCCCGGACACTCCATTGTCTTCTCTTACAAACTGATTAACGGTCAAGAGGAGAGGCACCAAGGAGCCCTGGTCTGGGACCACGTTCCAGCTCACTGTGTGATCCTGGGCAAGTTTCTTAGCCCATCTACGGCTCAGTTCTCACATCTGTAAAACGAGCACTTACGAAATTGTGCCTCCACCCATAGCTTACGGAAGAATGAAATGAGATTACTGACACACGGCGTTTAGCAGAGTGGCCCTCCTATAACCAAACCTCAGAAAATGGCAGCTGTTGCTGTGATTGCCTTTACTGTGGTCAGTAGTGGCCTGCCAATGCTGGCCGTGGCACCCCCACGCCCTCTGCTCAGTGTGTGTGTGTGTGTGTGAGCCCATACCCGGCTTCCGCTGTGTGGAAAAGCGGGCAGCAACTTCTCTGGTCTGGGCAATGAGTATGTCTATTCCCAGCGTGCCTGCGTCTGCCACCGTTAGGCATTTTAGCTCCTTGCTTATTTTTTAATCTTTAACTAGAATTTTGCATCTTTCGATTAATTGACCATTTTTTGTTTAGCTCGTCTAGCCCAAAAAGCAAAAGAAAGGAGGAGAAGAGGCACAAAAAGCAGTAAGTAGACACCGCTTACGGGAGCACACTGTAGCTTGGGGAGTTGGGGGCCTGGCTCCGTAAGAGTCAGTGTTAAAGTTGTCCCCTAAACAGGGACGGGCGGTGTAGAGGGGTGAGTGAGAGGGAAGGGGGGAAAGGAGGAGGGAGAGACCGACGGCGCTGCGTGTCCTCGCAGCTGTGGTTTCGGCGTGCACGAGCCAGGCTGCGGATGTGACGTGTCTGTGCATGCGCGTGTGTTTACAGAGGCAGCAGTGCGCATGGTATGCCCGGCGTGCCCATCGTGTGCGTGCCCCATGTGTGCATGGTGAGTGTATTTGTATGTGATATGCATACGTCTGCTGCGCACATTCAAAGTGCCTGCACACTTTCATATCACACAGACGTTTGTGTACACTGTACGGACAGATGTAGGCAATGTGGCTCCAGTTGCGTGCCTATGTGTATGTTGGTGTCCACACGGATACGTGATAGGGATCTGTGCTCATGTGCCCATGAACGCACACGGTATCCCTGGGGGAGCACCGTGTACCCATGCCTGGGAATCATATCTGCTCTGCGTGTGCACTGCTTATTTATCTGTGTATATTACATGTGCAGGGATCGTATGGTGCCTTTGTCATGTGCACATGTGTGCTATGTGTGCATGGGGAATGGGGCATGGACACGTGTGAGTCCATACCCTGGCTGTCGGGACAACGGTGCAGAGATTACCAGTGAGGCCCCCATCCTCAGTCTCAGGGCCCAGCTGTTTCATGCTTTATAGCCAGTAGTAGAAATTCAAATCAGCCGGGACTGCCTGCGGAGTTCAGTTCCCAGCCAAATTAAAAGTAAATTTGGTTACGGCCCACCTCCCTTAGACCCTGCACACATTTGTGTGTGTGTTTTCCAATCAACCAATATTTTATCTCCCACCAAGAAGCTTCTAAAGAGAGGATCAAAGACAACAGGATAAAAGGTAGTCGGCTGCCAGGGAGGGAACAGAGGAGGCAGGAGCACAGAGGGAGGGCACTCAGCTTCGCTGCCCCGAAGGGTTCACCCAAAGTCAGTGCATAGGAGGCCTTCTCAACCACCACCACAGGGGCCTGGCGGTGCCCCAGAAGGAAGCAGTAGTGCCTTGAGTTTGCTCAGGGAAGGACTTCGTCATCATCAGGCTTGTTCAGTTCCCATCAAGGGAAGTCCTGGACCTGTGCGCTGAGTGTGCTTCATGCTAAGCAGACAGGATGCCCATTCTCAGAGATGCCAGCATCACCCAGCCAGTGGGGCTGCAAGATAGTACCACAGAGTCAGGGGCTGGGCCCAGACCTCAAGAGCATGGGCGGGGACCGTCGCTGAGATTAGGACTGCCTGCCTCAGGGCAGCAAGGTGGTCACACCCCGGAGCCAAGAGCTGAACGTGTCCAAGAAATTGTTAGCGGGGCATCAGAAAGCTTGTTCACAGAGCCAGCAGTTGGTGTAGTGGTTACATTGCTGGACTCCCACATAGTCAAATGCGGTTCGAACCTCAGACCCAGTGGCTTGAAAATCATGCTGAGTTCATGTATGTGTGCAAACCCAAGATCTTGGGAGGAGAATAGAGGAGAAGGGATTGCAGCGTGACCATCCTCTCTCTCCCGGCGGGGAGTGATTTCTCACTTTCCCTCTCATTGTCTCTGTCTCTCTCCAGCCAGAGCATGCACCCTAAAAAGCAAAAACCTCTAAAAAAAAAAGGCAAGCAAGCAAGCAAGGGTCATGCAAGCCAAAAGACAAGAGGCAGGAGAAGAAAAAGCAAGAAAAACAAGGCGTCCCTAGGATAAATGATGGTTTATTCTTGCCAAGTCTCACGGTCAGAGCTGCTTCTAAGCAAGTGACCATTTTCCAGCCTCTTATTCAGCATCCTTTAGCAAGGCCCAACTAGGGGGCAGGGCAGAAATGAACCAGACATTTCCTGGCCTCGGGGGGCTCACAGGGCAGCAAGGAACAGGGCCAACATGGCACGGTGGTGCCAGACGGAAGCTGGCACGTTGTGAGAATGCTGATGCTAGGAAAAGAGGGCTTGGCAGCGAGGGTGGCTTCCTGCAGGACCCGATGTCCAGGCCTCTGGGGAGGCAGGTGGTTTAAATTCTTTGCACTTCAGTTTCTTCCTCTGTACCATGGGAACAATAAGAGAACCTATTTCATAGGTTGTTGTGAGGAGAATGGTTAGAACGCAGTGCCTGGCATGAAGTGTGTGTTAGGTCGGGTTCCCTGTCATCATCACCATCGTCTTCGTTGTCTTCACTGCAAGGACATCGTGCACTGGGGAAAGCACGAGCCAGACTGTAAGCACTTCAGAGCAGCTTCAGAGTCTGCAAGGCTGGGGCAGACGATGTCAAGCAATGAGGCCAGGCAGATAGGCAGGGGCTAGCCTCTGAAGGTGCTTGGGGCCCAAGATCGCAGTTTTGACTTGGCATAAAGGCAACGGCAAGGTTTTAAAGAGGAAAGGGATGATGGATGATACATTAGAAGAATCCCCAAGTCCTTTGTTGGGATCACCAACCTACTCTCTCCCGATAGAATCCTCTCTGACTCCCACTGGCTCCCTGGCTTGGCCCAAACTATTGACGTTCCTTGTATGTTCCTAATCACCTTTGCTGCTGCTGCTGCTGCTGTGTTTTGCTCCTGCTGCTGCTGCTGCTGCTGCTGCTGCTGCTGCTGCTGGGCTCTTGTTACTTATAAGTAGCCTGTAAGAGTGCCGTTATTAGGGGTAGTGGTAGGTGGTAGTAATAATGCTAAGTGTTATTGATGTCCATAGTCTACTCTGAAAGGCTTTTGACTCCATGCTAAGAAATTGGACTTGGGACCATCAGTTGGCATAATGGCTACAGTGCTGTACTCCCATGTAGCCGACCGCAGTTCAAGTCCCAGACCTGGTGGCTTAAACTCACGCTGGGCGCATGCGTGCCCAAGATCCCGAGAGGAGAATGGAGGAGAAGGGATTGCGGCATGGCCATCCCCCCTGGGGGAGGGGTGATTTCTCGCTATCTCTCTGTCTCTCTCTGTCTTTCTGGCGAGCACACGCACCCTATAGCAAAAATCTCTCAAAAAAAAAAAAAAAACTGGACTTAATTTTCCAGGTCTGAAGTTACAAATTGGCAGCCCAAAGGCCTAATTTATTCTGCAAATGTGTTTCGTTTGCCCCAAATGGTCTTTTTCACTTTAATGAGCTTGCATTTTAAAACAGGACTATTTCACATAAAAATCTGTATTTCCACATTTCCTGGAAGACTTCGAAGATCCAGCACCACACCAATATTCCAGGGGCAAAGCAGCTCATTCCTTTGTGGCTTAGGCCTTCGGCTGGTATTTTTAGTAGCTGGCTGGTTCACAGACAGAGTCCCAGACTAGCTCCCGAAGCTGTGTAAAATTGAGACTCCTACCTGAGGTGAGGGAGAGGTGACGTTGGAAGTGACTTTCTGCCCAGGGTGTCATTTGCATCAGGCTTTCTTCCAACGTAGGGGAGGGCCCTGAGTCAACCCTGCTCTCCACAGGCCCCTTTCTGCTCACATGTGTTCAGTACAGCTGGTTAGAGAACCCCAAGTTTTCAGGCAGGAAGCTGGGGTGATGCGGGGTCAGGGTGGGTGGAAGGAAACGCATAACTTCAGAAGAGACGGTGATTCAGGTGCAAGAGAGAAATACGTGTCAGGAGACCAAAATCAAATCTCTCTCTCTCTGTCTCTCTCTCCCTCTCCTCCTTCTCTGATTCACTCCTTCTCATCCCCCACCCCACCAAGATCGCGAAGCCGGCCCCGAAAGTCTCACCGCCACCGCCGTCACCGCTGCCCCTCACGGTCCCAGAGCTCAGCATCCCGCTCCTCAAGCTGTGAGAGCAGGTAACCCCTCACCCCGGGGGTCTCCTCTCCCCAGGCGGCGCCCAGAGCCCAGCTATGGCACTGGGGTCATGAGTGCTCCTTCTGACTGCTTGAGCCATTGTCCCAGGGCAGGGCCGGCTCCCTGCCTCACACTCAGAGGCTGAGGCCACTTCCCTGTATTCTGGGCTGCAGACAAAAGGGACTTGCTACTCCCATGTACAGGAGCGAGGACAACCATACCAGCTCACGCAGACGCTTTTAGATACCTGTACGCCATTGTATACACCCACTCTCACGGTCCCCTCGACCAGCTCATGAACCAGGTACTACTGTCACTCCCCCCCCTTTTAAAGATGGGGAAACTGAGGCACAGAGGGATCGAGAAGCTTGCTAGGCACTTAGCTATACTGAGTGGCAGTGCTCTGGATTGAAACCAGAGTTTGGCTCTGGACTTGGTGGAAATCCCAAGAATGTTCTAAGCACAGAAAGGCTAAGCAACCAATGGAAGGTCACACAGCACAAAGCACCGAGTCCTGAGGCCCTTCCAAGTCAGTTTTCTCCTAACCTGGACCTGCTCTGTGCTGATGAACTGGCCGTGTCGGCCTGAGAAGGGGGAGATGAGTGCTCTTGTACATGAAAAGAAGAAGGAGAAGGAAAAATAAAAAATAAGAATAAAAAGAAGGAACTGGAGTTTTCAAGATGTTGACCAACAAAGAGAGCCTTGTCTTCTTTCTTTGTGAACAATGTTGGTGAAGACATCCAGTCAGGGTGGATGTCTTCCCCTGCTTTCTGACAGCACCCGATCCAGAAGAAAGCCCCAGTTCCTTAATCACTCCCCTAAGCCACTACAAGCCCCAGTCCTGTACCAGATCTTTCTAGCCCTCTCTCGGAGACATGTGACACTTCTCTCTGGCATATGTTTTCTCTTATTGCAATAAACAGACGTGCTTGTCTGACCAGAGATGGGCTCTTGGTGGCCTTTCCCCAGGGGGAATTGGTTCAATGGCCAATCTGCATCACGGACATATTACAGCTGAGAAAATCGCCTCTCGGTAGGCAAGGGATCTGAGTAAGGGCACGCACTGGGAAGAGAATAGCTCCTTGGCAGAGCTGGGACAAGGACCCTGGTCTGTGTGACTCCACCTGAGCTCTTCACTCTCACCCTAAGCTAAATAGGCTCTCAGCAGCTACATCCCGTGGGCCTGGCCCAGAGGGTGGGTAACATCACGGGCACTGGCCCCAGGCCTCCCGCTGTGCTGTCTCCAGTGGAGCTGCCATTCGAACTCCCCAGCACCTGTTGGGCGAAGAGGATCCCCAGTAGGCCTGCAAGCAAACTGAGAGCTGGTACAGGACACACCACCAAAAGAAAACCAATCTGGAGGCGCCAGAGCAAAGAGGGACATTCCAAAACAAGAGTAGAGGCACCAGTTCTTTTATTATTATTATTTATTTTTTTAGAGAGAGATTTTTTTTTTGCTATAGGGCACGTGTGTTCATTGGAGACAGAGAGAGACAGGAAATGAGGAACCATCCAGTAGGGATGGCCATGCCGCAATCCTTTCTCCTCCATTCTTTTCTCAGGATTTTGGACATACATGCACAAGTCGCCAAGTCTGGGGCTCGAACTGTGGTCAACTATGTGGGAGTCCAGAGCCTTAACCACTATGCCACCTGCTGGCCCCACAGCAGCAGTCTTTAGGGGTAGAAAACTGCCCTGGCCCTGGCTCTGCCACTTTCAAGTTATGTGGTCTTGGCCAAGATCCTAAGCATCTCTGGGTCTCAGCTCCCTCACCTGTAAAATGGGAACGTAATACCTGTTCTGTCTTCATGTTGTAGAAGACTGTGAAAGCACCCGAAGAAGGACTTATCAGTGCCATGCAAATCCATTAGGTGTTATTTTTATTGCTCCCGTGGTTCAGAGAGCTAACAGGAAGCACAGAGTTGGCAGCCCAAAGGCCTAATTTATTCTGCAAATGTGTTTCGTTTGCCCCAAATGGTCTTTTTCACTTTAATGAGCTTGCATTTTAAAACAGGACTATTTCACATAAAAATCTGTATTTCCACATTTCCTGGAAGACTTCGAAGATCCAGCACCACACCAATATTCCAGGGGCAAAGCAGCTCATTCCTTTGTGGCTTAGGCCTTCGGCTGGTATTTTTAGTAGCTGGCTGGTTCACAGACAGAGTCCCAGACTAGCTCCCGAAGCTGTGTAAAATTGAGACTCCTACCTGAGGTGAGGGAGAGGTGACGTTGGAAGTGACTTTCTGCCCAGGGTGTCATTTGCATCAGGCTTTCTTCCAACGTAGGGGAGGGCCCTGAGTCAACCCTGCTCTCCACAGGCCCCTTTCTGCTCACATGTGTTCAGTACAGCTGGTTAGAGAACCCCAAGTTTTCAGGCAGGAAGCTGGGGTGATGCGGGGTCAGGGTGGGTGGAAGGAAACGCATAACTTCAGAAGAGACGGTGATTCAGGTGCAAGAGAGAAATACGTGTCAGGAGACCAAAATCAAATCTCTCTCTCTCTGTCTCTCTCTCCCTCTCCTCCTTCTCTGATTCACTCCTTCTCATCCCCCACCCCACCAAGATCGCGAAGCCGGCCCCGAAAGTCTCACCGCCACCGCCGTCACCGCTGCCCCTCACGGTCCCAGAGCTCAGCATCCCGCTCCTCAAGCTGTGAGAGCAGGTAACCCCTCACCCCGGGGGTCTCCTCTCCCCAGGCGGCGCCCAGAGCCCAGCTATGGCACTGGGGTCATGAGTGCTCCTTCTGACTGCTTGAGCCATTGTCCCAGGGCAGGGCCGGCTCCCTGCCTCACACTCAGAGGCTGAGGCCACTTCCCTGTATTCTGGGCTGCAGACAAAAGGGACTTGCTACTCCCATGTACAGGAGCGAGGACAACCATACCAGCTCACGCAGACGCTTTTAGATACCTGTACGCCATTGTATACACCCACTCTCACGGTCCCCTCGACCAGCTCATGAACCAGGTACTACTGTCACTCCCCCCCCTTTTAAAGATGGGGAAACTGAGGCACAGAGGGATCGAGAAGCTTGCTAGGCACTTAGCTATACTGAGTGGCAGTGCTCTGGATTGAAACCAGAGTTTGGCTCTGGACTTGGTGGAAATCCCAAGAATGTTCTAAGCACAGAAAGGCTAAGCAACCAATGGAAGGTCACACAGCACAAAGCACCGAGTCCTGAGGCCCTTCCAAGTCAGTTTTCTCCTAACCTGGACCTGCTCTGTGCTGATGAACTGGCCGTGTCGGCCTGAGAAGGGGGAGATGAGTGCTCTTGTACATGAAAAGAAGAAGGAGAAGGAAAAATAAAAAATAAGAATAAAAAGAAGGAACTGGAGTTTTCAAGATGTTGACCAACAAAGAGAGCCTTGTCTTCTTTCTTTGTGAACAATGTTGGTGAAGACATCCAGTCAGGGTGGATGTCTTCCCCTGCTTTCTGACAGCACCCGATCCAGAAGAAAGCCCCAGTTCCTTAATCACTCCCCTAAGCCACTACAAGCCCCAGTCCTGTACCAGATCTTTCTAGCCCTCTCTCGGAGACATGTGACACTTCTCTCTGGCATATGTTTTCTCTTATTGCAATAAACAGACGTGCTTGTCTGACCAGAGATGGGCTCTTGGTGGCCTTTCCCCAGGGGGAATTGGTTCAATGGCCAATCTGCATCACGGACATATTACAGCTGAGAAAATCGCCTCTCGGTAGGCAAGGGATCTGAGTAAGGGCACGCACTGGGAAGAGAATAGCTCCTTGGCAGAGCTGGGACAAGGACCCTGGTCTGTGTGACTCCACCTGAGCTCTTCACTCTCACCCTAAGCTAAATAGGCTCTCAGCAGCTACATCCCGTGGGCCTGGCCCAGAGGGTGGGTAACATCACGGGCACTGGCCCCAGGCCTCCCGCTGTGCTGTCTCCAGTGGAGCTGCCATTCGAACTCCCCAGCACCTGTTGGGCGAAGAGGATCCCCAGTAGGCCTGCAAGCAAACTGAGAGCTGGTACAGGACACACCACCAAAAGAAAACCAATCTGGAGGCGCCAGAGCAAAGAGGGACATTCCAAAACAAGAGTAGAGGCACCAGTTCTTTTATTATTATTATTTATTTTTTTAGAGAGAGATTTTTTTTTTGCTATAGGGCACGTGTGTTCATTGGAGACAGAGAGAGACAGGAAATGAGGAACCATCCAGTAGGGATGGCCATGCCGCAATCCTTTCTCCTCCATTCTTTTCTCAGGATTTTGGACATACATGCACAAGTCGCCAAGTCTGGGGCTCGAACTGTGGTCAACTATGTGGGAGTCCAGAGCCTTAACCACTATGCCACCTGCTGGCCCCACAGCAGCAGTCTTTAGGGGTAGAAAACTGCCCTGGCCCTGGCTCTGCCACTTTCAAGTTATGTGGTCTTGGCCAAGATCCTAAGCATCTCTGGGTCTCAGCTCCCTCACCTGTAAAATGGGAACGTAATACCTGTTCTGTCTTCATGTTGTAGAGGACTGTGAAAGCACCCGAAGAAGGACTTATCAGTGCCATGCAAATTCATTAGGTGTTATTTTTATTGCTCCCGTGGTTCAGAGAGCTAACAGGAAGCACAGAGTCCAAATATAGCCTTTCTAAGAAGTCAGACATGCCTTTGATTTCTCTGCAGACAAGGCAGCCCCATCTAGACCTGACAAGCTGCGGAAGGCACGCTGTGGTTTTTATCAACCATTTTTCCCCAGCGTTTTGGGTGACAGTCTGTAGGATGGCTCTGTTTCACAGATGGTGAAGTTACATAAGCAAAGACACACGGATACACACAGTTACAGACAAATGCACGGAAACACAGATGGACAGACCCAGGCGTACACACTGACACTTAGAGACATGGGCACACAAAGGAGATTACACTGAATCACAGTGGGGCCAGACAGTGCCAGGGGTATGCGTAAATATTTGCCAACTGAACAAATAAGAGAATGAATGAATGGGTAGGTGAATGGATAGAATGAATGGGTAGGTGGGTGGGTGAGGAGATGGATGGATAGTTGGATGGATATACACACAATCAACCTTCACATACTCACCGAGAGACAGACCCAGAGACAGAATAGAATATGCAGTGCACCCAAATACACTCTTTAGATCCTCTTGGTCCCTCTACTGTTTCCCTGCCATGCTCCTTTTCAAAAGACCCTTAGGTCTCTCTCTCTTGGCCCCAGGCATCGAGGCCGGTCCCCTGAGGAAGGGCGAAAGTCCCGCCGAAGGCACTCTCGTCGCTGCTCCAAGACCCTCAGCAAGGCCAGTCCGGAGGCCCGGTCCAGTCACCCACCTAGCCAATCCCTCCAGATGCTGGGCTTCCTGTCGGCCAGGGGTGTAGTAAGTATTCCACACAGCCTCCTCTGCCAGCCTTGGCCATGACACCTGGGGGAGGTGGAGGTACAAGTTCAGGGCAGTGTATGCTACATTTTAATTCAGTTTGGGGCAAAATATCCCACTGGCTCCAGACCTCTTTACTGAATAACCAAATGGGCATTCGTCAGCTTTTAGGGATTGGGGGAGGGACGGGGCACCAAAATACCCATGCTCTTCTATCAGGGGAGTATTGAAAAATAAATTCTGATCTCCAGAGTGACATCTGTAGAAATACATGTGTGAGTCACTGTGGGAGGGTTCTTTGGGGAGGAAGGAAAAAGAGGGCCTTTGACATAATAGAGGCCCTCCAGCTCTTGTACAAACTCTACCTCTTCTATGCCAGCTGGCTGGTAGCCCTGGTTGGCAATTGGGATTTGATGCCATCTATAAACATGACCTTGAATGCATATGAGGATTTTCCTTTAAGGGGCTCACAGTACTTGACCTGGGTCCTCTCATATGACGAAAGGTCTCAGGGAGTTGAGACACAGCAGCTGTACTCGTCCCTTCCATATATGGGACAGAAAAGCCAAGGCTCAGAGAGGTTAAGGTCTGGGGTAAAAGCCACAGAGCAAATCTAATTTAGCAACCTGGCATTGGAGAGAATTATGCAACATTTTCCCCGGTCAACAAGGAGGAGCTGGAATTTCATTTCAGACAGTTTGACACCATGAACAAGAGAGAGAGTGATGGATCTGAATTGAAGTCCTAGCTTTGCTACTTCCTAGCCATGTGGCTTTGGGCAAGTTACTTAACCTCAGTGTTCTCACTGGTAAACATGAGGTAATACCACCTCCAAATGGGACTGTTGGGACTATCCAATAAAATAAAGTATGCGAAGGCCTTTTGTAGACTCTAAGGGGACAAACAGGAAGAGAGTTGACATTGGTATGTCCTACAATTGCAGCTAACAGCCATGGAGGGCCCTGAACCCTGTAGCAACAGGTGAACCTGAAGCTTCATGAAGCACCTCCCTTAGAAAGGATGAGGTGGAAGCAGAGGAAAGCTTAGGTGTGCTTTAGGGGAAGCCAAGCTAGTCATAGTGACGATGAGCAGCAGTTAGGCCAGGTTAAGGCGGTAATTACCTGCAGTGCATTCTGGGAAGCTCTTCTTCACCAGTCAAAGTACCTTGTATCACCAGGGTTCTCATTTTCCCAAATCCTCTGCCCACCCAGAACCATCCACAACTCCTCCCAGACCCCTCTTTGGTAGAGATGCCTGTGGTTACTGCATGTTTGTAGGTGGTCATTGCCACCCCCATTTTTTCACTTCAAAAGTCCTAGAAAGGGGTTTTTCCAGTATGGCAGAAAGTCTAGAGGCCTGGTCTCAAGTCTTGGCTTGGCTGGACTAATCATTTTACCCTTTCCAGCCTCAGCTTCCCTAGCTGGGAAGTGGACATGATTAACCCATTGGAAGCATTGTAGAAAAGGTAAAGGTAAATTTGAAATATTAGCTATAAGAGACAGAAGAATGTTTCAAGGGAGTAAGGATTACTCAAGCTCCGTGGTCTTCTACTGGGTTGTCAGAAAAGTCATGAAGCATTTTTACATAGAAAAATAAGTCAGGACTTTTCCAATGACCCAATCCTTGTGGCAACTCATCCAGTAGCCCCAGTTGACCATAGTTGAAATGGAAACAACTGACATAATGCCTTACCTGCCTGGGATGATTTCCTAAGAAGGCCATGTCTCTAAAGACCTTGTAAACAGCCAGATCTGTTCTCCCCCCATGACAGCTGGTAGTATTACCAGATCGGCTAGTGGTAGAACACAGGTTCTTGATTGCTCGGGAATAAGATGCCTCGATATCCCCCAATCCAAACCCAGCCCCTATTAGAAGAGCTGAAAGCCATAGCTCATTTCTATCTACAAGGAAGAGATCTTAAGGGCTCACCTAGACTGGTGCCCTGATTATCAAGAAGGGGAACTGAGACTCACAGAAGAGCAATGATGTGCATGGGCCATGCAGCGGTGCTACAAACATAGGATTATGGCTACGTGGTCCAATCCTGGCTCTGAGCATGGGGTAGTTACCTAAGCTTTCCTGAACTGTACTTTTATCATCTGTTTTTTAAAAATGCAGATAATAACACTCTCTTAAACACACACACACACACAACCATTGAGCCCAGCACTTGACTCAAGATCAAAACTCAGCCAATCGTAGGGGAGGCTCTGCACTGACCAGCGGTGGAAGCTTGAGCAAGTTACAGAAACACTTTGGGTCTCGGTTTCCTCAAAATCGGCATAATAATGATGAGACCTGCTTCCTAAGGTTGTTATGAAGAGTCAATGACTAAAATGTAAGTAAAAATTTAGAATATAATAGGCAAGTGGTCAGTGCCCATAAATTTTGCTACTCGCACCCATAGGCATAGCAGGAAGAATGGAAATAGCAGTGGTAGTAGTAGTGGTAGTTAAAGTGGTGGTGGTGGTGGTAGTGGTAATCAGTAGTGTAGTAGTTGTGGTTGTAGTAGTACTAGTATTATGGTATTACTAGAAGTAATTATAGCATCCTTCCAGGCCCAGGCCAGCCCATTGTCTAGGCCAGGACTAAGTCTTAGCTGGGACCCTGCTTTCCAGATCAGTTTCTTCCCATCCTACATGGTAGCTGCAGCTCAAATGGCTATTCCCCATCCCACTCAAGGTTGACTGGCTCCTGGGGCCATTAGATAGCACCTATCTCTGGTCAGGTGTGTGCCCTCCATGCTCAGCCCCTTATCATCTTCTCTCTTACAAAGGCAGAGAGGGAAGGTTTGAGGATGGACCAACGGTTTTCTAGGAGTGCTGGCCCCAAGCTCTTTCTCTTTCTCTACCGATAACAGCAGAGTCACATTCATGGAATCATCTGTTCGATCATTCATTCCAGTCTACCAATATGTATTGAGCTCCTACAAAGGGTCAGACTCTCATTGGTTCCCAGGCTCCAATGAATAAGAAAGCTCTGTACCTTCTGGTAGGGGATGCAAAAAGTTAAAAGCAGTAAAAGACAGCACACAACAATTGTCACTGAGATGCTTAGATGGGGTAGAAGGTTAGCAGGCAGGGAAGGGAATTAGAGTTAAGCAAAAAAAGATGACAAATACCTGAAAACTAAGGGTGACCAGGAGTTAGCCAATAAAAAGAGGGAAATGAAGATTAGAGACAGGGATCCAGACAGAATTCTAGGACAAGATATAGGTTCTAGAGGGTTACAAGAGCCCAAGCATGAAGGGTCTTCCTTTCCATGACTCCTGCCACACTCGGTTACATGCATTTTATATGCACAGCTCTTTAAAAAAATCAAGGACAAGCGCAGACATCCAGGGGCTTATTTGCATTTATGATTATGCAAATTCTGGGTAGAATTTAAATAGAAATCCTAGTTGGTAAAGTATAGGTACCCTGAGGTTTTTCTTGCTCAGTCAATGACCCAATAAATGGAGAGTCCCAAGGAGATGGTATAGAGACCCTTCACGGCTTCACTTAGGGTCTTTATCTTCATCCTCTCATCTGTTGAAGGCACCGGAATCAACAGAAGGCTGTAATACAGTGTGATTGTGGTGTAATTGGGTACGATTGAGTTGGTGAGCACCAGGACCTCCTATAGATGTTAAAATAATCAAATATTAGCACACCAGTCAATTGCCCCTTCAGCTGACCCAGTCATCTCTTCTTTCCACATCTTCTGGTCCTTCTCACAATCCAACAACTAAAAAGTGACACCTAATCCCCTCGGTGTCAAGACCAGCTCCCCTTCTGATAGTACACATGCCCAACCAGGTATTGAATAGTTTGAGTCTCACCCCCAACAGTGATGGAAGCAAATGCCTGGGAGAGCTGGACAACGCTGTCTTGATGTCTGGGAAGGGGAACATTCCTGCTGGTCTTTGAAGGGAGGATGGAGTTCATCAGATTGGGAGAGAGAATGGAGGGGGACATGCCATTATGTGCTAGGCACTGTCACATACTGTACACAGTTTTCTTTATTTTTCCCCTCATTTGATACACAAATTTCTCTAAGAAAGGTGCAATTATCACTATTTTGCAAATGAAAAACTGAGGCTCTGAGAGGTGACCAGATCAAGAAATGAAACCCAACTGCAAGGAAGAGGGGACTGGTGTGAAGCATGGCTTGTGGCTTGGACACTGATTCTGATAGCACAGAGGGCAGATTAGATGACAAGGAGAGTGGGCTGGATGAAGGAGTGGCTGGTGGTCTCAGGGTTTGGCCAAGCCCTTTCCCTTTTGAAGGGGCTCTTTACCAAGTTGGCCATTACTAGGCAGGCAATCTAGAGAGGTCGATGAGTTCTGAAGCGGGACCAAGGAAAGAGCAGGCTTCTTTTGTTCTCCCCCCTCCACCCTTGTCCCCAGCCTGGGCCAATAGTTGCTGCATGCACCTTGTCAACAATCGCCTGCACAGATGCCAGGACAGAAAAGAAAATCAAAAGAACAAGAAAGCAGAATTTGAAGGTCTCCTGGAAGTTAGGAACTAGAGGAGACACTGCAGTGATTAAGACAGGGTAGGACTGGCTTCTCTGGGTTCTTGTCTCTCCATGAGGCTCTGGGGTAACAGCACTAACAGACTGAGCACCTACTATGTGCAGGTGCCAAGCTGAAGTCTTTACATATATCATCTCATTTTTATTTTTTATAGCCCTTCAAGGGAACTTCTAATATTTCCATCTCACAATGAGAAAACAAACAGGCTAGAAAAATTAAGGAAAAGGCAACAGTAAATGGAGATTCTAGGCTTTGAACTCAGAAAGTCTTGCCTTCAGAGTCCATGTGCTTAAGAACATAATCTTCCTTCTGTCATTTCACTTCTCTGGGCTTCAGTATCCTCATGTGTAAATAGGGACTAATGAGATAAGGTATCCATCCATTTTAAAATTAAGCATTAAGCACCTACTATGTGGCAGACAGTGGCATCCAGCAGTGAACAAGACAGACAGGTCCCTGCCCTCTGTTCTGGGTGAAAATTTT